AAAATTGATGCCACGTGTCATATGCACAAATTCAGTTTTCCCACTAATTTGGCAAGAAAATTGATGCCACGTGTCCTATGCAGAAATTCAGTTTTCCCACTAAATTTGCAGGAAAATTGATGTCGCAGGACCTACAAATTCAGGTTCCCCGCTAAATTTAGCAGAAGAATTGACGTCACGTGGTCGTGACCTATGCACCAGTTCGGTTTCCCCGCTAAGTTTAGCGGAAAAATTGACGTCACGTGACCTATGCACAAATTCAGTTTTCCCACTAAATTTGGCAAGAAAATTGATGCCATGTGTCCTATGCAGCAATTCAGTTTTCCCACTAAATTTGGCAGGAAAATTGATGTCGCAGGACCTACAAATTCAGGTTCCCCGCTAAATTTAGCTGAACTGACGTCATGTAACCTATGCACGAGTTCGGTTTCCCCGCTAAATTTAGCGGAAAAATTGACGTCACGTGACCTATGCACCAATTCAGTTTTCCCACTAAATTTGGCAAGAAAACTGATGCCACGTGTCCTATGCACCAGTTCGGTTTCCCCGCTAAATTTAGCAGAAGAATTGACGTCATGTGACCTATGCACCAGTTCGGTTTCCCCGCTAAATTTAGCAGAATTGACCTCACGTGACCTATGCACCAATTCAGTTTTCCCACTAAATTTGGCAAGAAAATTGATGCCACGTGTCCTATGCACAAATTCAGTTTTCCCTCTAAATTTGGCAGGAAAATTGATGCCACGTTTCCTATGCAGAAATTCAGTTTTCCCACTAAATTTGGCAGGAAAATTGATGTCGCAGACCTACAAATTCAGGTTCCCCGCTAAATTTAGCAGAAGAATTGACGTCACGTGACCTATGCACCAGTTCGGTTTCCCCGCTAAATTTAGCAGAAGAATTGACATCACGTGACCTATGCACCAATTCAGTTTTCCCACTAAATTTGGCAAGAAAATTGATGCCACGTGTCCTATGCACAAATTCAGTTTTCCCACTAAATTTGGCAGGAAAATTGATGCCACGTGTCCTATGCAGAAATTCAGTTTTCCCACTAAATTTGGCAGGAAAATTGATGTTGCAGGACCTACAAATTCAGGTTCCCCGCTAAATTTAGCAGAAGAATTGACGTCACGTGACCTATGCACCAGTTCGGTTTCCCCGCTAGCGGAAAAATTGACGTCACGTGACCTATGCACAAATTCAGTTTTCCCACTAAATTTGGCAAGAAAATTGATGCCACGTGTCCTATGCAGCAATTCAGTTTTCCCACTAAATTTGGCAGGAAAATTGATGTCGCAGGACCTACAAATTCAGGTTCCCCGCTAAATTTAGCTGAATTGACGTCACGTAACCTATGCACGAGTTCGGTTTCCCCGCTAAATTTTGCGGAAAAATTGACGTCACGTGACCTATGCACCAATTCAGTTTTCCCACTAAATTTGGCAAGAAAACTGATGCCACGTGTCCTATGACCAAATTCAGTTTTCCCACTAAATTTGGCAGGAAAATCGATGCCACGTGTCCTATGCACAAATTCAGTTTTCCCGCTAAATTTGGCAGGAAAATTGATGTCGCAGGACCTACAAATTCAGGTTCCTCGCTAAATTTAGTGGAAGAATTTACGTCATGTGACCTATGCACCAGTTCAGTTTCCCCGCTAAATTTAGCGGAAAAATTGACATCACATGACCTATGCACCAATTCAGTTTTCCCGCTAAATTTGGCAGGAAAATTTATGCGCAGGACCACTGATCTCTATGACAATTGCTGGATTGCGTTTGCCCGCTCCGCGAATGCAGCCCCTGGCAGCCATCTTTTTGGTAGAGTTATATTACCTCTAGCCAAGGTAGAGCTACTGCAGCCACTATCATCCATCCATGGCAGACAGCGTTGTGGCAGTTGGGGTGGCAGGCTGCCATCAAAATAGCGTGGGTGATATTTCGTGCTTGATAGAAATTGTTTGAAGAAACATACTTTTGAATCCCGGCGTGAATGGTAGCCCGATTTTTGAGGACCCGGTGAAAGTTTTACGAAATCGCAGCACCGGGGAAAAGCAGCACAGCTTGCATCGAAAGCAGATGTCGGTACGGAGTCTGCTTTCGATGCGAGCTGTGCTGCTTTCCCCCGGTGCTGCGCTTTCGTAGAACTTTCGCCGGATCCTCAAAGATGAGGCTACTGTTCACGCTGGGTTTCAAGAATCTGCCTCTTCGAACAACTTCAATCAAGCACGAAATATCACCCACGGTACAGTGTACTTGATCCGCGGCTATTTTATGGCAGCCTGCCGCCATTGCGCTGTCCGCCATATTACTATGATGGCTAGAAATAATATAACTCTACCAGAAAGATGGCCAACCGTGGCCGCATTCCCGTCCAGAGGCTAAGCTGGTCAAACGTGATCCAGCAAATAGACGCAGAGATCAGTGCGCAGGACCTACAAAATCAGGTTCCCCGCTAAATTTAGCGGAAAAATTAATGTCACATGACCTATGCACCAATTCAGTTTCTCCGCTAAATTTGGTGGGAAAATTGATGCCACGTGACCTATGCGCCAATTTAGTTTTCTCACTAAATTTGGCAGGAAAATTGATGCCACGTGACTTATGCACCAATTCAGTTCTCCCGCTAAATATGGCAGGAAAATTGATGTCGCAGGACCTACAAATTTAGGTTCCCCGCTAAATTTAGCAGACAAATTGACGTCATGTGACCTATGCACCAATTTAGTTTCCCCGCTAAATTTGACGGGAAAATGGATGTTACGTGACCTATTCACCAATTCAGTTTCTCCAATAAATTTGGCGGAAAATTGATGTCACAGGGCCTACAGACAAATTCAGGTTCCCTGCTAAATTTGCGGAAGAGTTTACGTCACGTACACCTATGCACCAATTCAGTTTCCCTTCTAAATTTAGCGAAACAGTTGACATCACGTCACCTATACACCAATTCAGTTTCACCACTAAATTTAGCAGAAAAATTTGTTACGTGGCCTAATAACCAATTCAGTTACCCTGCTAAATTGAATGGAGAAATTTAACATCACAAGACCTATGCACCAATTCAGTTTCCCTCCTAAATTTAGCAGAACAATTGACATTACGTGTCCTACGCACCAATTCATTTTCCCCACTAAGTTTAGCGGATGAATTTATGTCACGTGGCCTAATAACCAATTCAGTTACCCTGCTAAATTGAGTGGAAAAATTTAACATCAGATGACCTATGCACCAATTCAGTTTCCCTGGTAGCAGAAAAATATGTCACGTCACCTATGCACCAGTTTAGTTTCCCCACTAAACTATGCGGGAAAAGTGATGTCACGGGACCCACAGACAAATTCAGGTTCCCCACTAAATTTAGCAGATGAATTTACGTCACGTGGCCTATGCACCAATTCAGTTTCCTCGCTATATTTGGCAGAAAAATTGACATCACATAACCTATGCACCAGTTCAGTTTCCCCACTAAATTTAGCGGAAAAATTGACATCACAAGACCTATGCACATTCAGTTTCCCCCTAAATTTAGCAGAAAAATTGACTTCATATGACCTATGCACCAATTCAGTTTCTCCAATAAATTTGGTGGGAATATTGACGTCGCAGGACATACAGACAAATTCAGGTTTCTGCTAAATTTAACGAAAATATTTACGCCTCGTGACCTATGCACTTATTCGGTTTCCCCGCTAAATTTAGCGGAAAAACTGACGTCACGTGACATATGCACCAGTTCAGTTTCCACGTTTAAATTTAGCGGAAAAGTTGACATCACGAGGCCTATGCATCAATTCAGTTTCCCTGCTGAATTTGGTGGCAAAATTGATGTCGCACAACCTATGCACCAATCCAGTTTTCCCACCAAATTTGGCGACGGCGTGAGCGTAAACAAGACTAATTACAGCGGCAGCTGTTAGTGGCGTGTCCCCCACTTTCACGACAGCATGAGCATAAACGAAAATAAACAAAAAAGCTATCGCTATGTAAATGCTTCATGCCGTATGATTGTATGATTGTCCCCCAATTTTTTTTATCCTCATCCTTTTTTTTTTGTTTACCGAGAACACATCCCACAGTCTGCAAGGCTGCTGCTTTCTTCAAGAGCCATACTTGTTCTAGCTCCAGGCCGCATATGTGCCCTGGAGCTAGGGGAACCCCACGGCTGTGTCTCGTTTTCTTCAACGTAGACTCCGTCAAACCCACTTTTTGTTTCATGGAACATGGGCATTAAGAAACGCCGAATCTGTGGGAAACTCATTCCTGAAAGCGAAGAAAAAGTAAATCCCAAAAACGTGAAACCCTAATTATTAACATTCACTCATCCTGTGCATTTTGAATATGTCTTCACGTGCGGGGTCTTTTACGATTAATGCTTGCCTGATAAAAGTCCAATTGTTTTGTATGCCCAGTCAATCTTGAAAGTGTATAAACTGGTGTATCCAATTTGGAGTACCCGTTTTGCCGGTGTAGTGTAACTGCAAACTTAGGATATGATCATGCCCTTTACTTGTTGTCACCTCAAGAAAAAAAGCTAGTTTTGCACATTGTTCTTGCGCCGCGTGATGTAGAGCTTGTCAGAGGAAGAAGCGATGCTTTTGGCATTTGAAATATGTATGTTTCGATAAGAGAACATATATCTGGACTCAAATGCACCTACCCTACATACCTTAATTCTCCTCATACAGAAGAATTTAGTGATGCCCTGCGAGAAGTTGGACTTCTACGGTAAATGAGGGTGAAAACGAGTATTGTCACCAGATGAAGCAATGCTGCCGCTACAGTGACTGTTCATATTGAAATGGGCATTGATTTTGCAGTGACTGAGCCTGCGGTGCCATCGTGCTTCTGGCCACCGTAGCCAGGCCAGCCTTCTCCAGCTTCTTGTGCTATGTTCAAGACTTATTACCTTCATCATCATGGCAGCTACACCGTGCTGTATAGGGAGAGCACTTCATTCAGACATTTTATAAAACTTGGCCGCCCCTTGCATTTCAGATACCGGACAACTTTCAGGGTTACAAGCTGGAACACTTCTGTATCCCGCAGCACTACAAGGGGGATCTGGAGTCTGTCTTCCTCCCTTGTGGCCTGGTGCACGACAGGCAAGTTACAGCATTCGTTTTGTGGCATCTATATAAATTATGAAATTTTTGTTTTATTTGTGGATTATGTACCATATTTTCCGGTGTATAAGTTGTGATTATTTCTTCACACATTATTCTTGTTGCGTTTTGTACAGCAATGCAACTTTTATATGTTTTTTCTTTTTTAATTCACGGTGCGACGCAATTTCTTTTTATGCCCCGTGTGCTATTGTTTGTTGAGCACCATAACTATGTAGTGTTGCCCCTCCCAGGAGGCACTGCTGTCACCGCACTCTTCTACACTTTTCATAACTGACTCGGAAAGCGAGATATTTTACAGTTTCCTCAAAGCGGCTCAATGTAGAAAGGCAAGACAGTGAGAATAAAACTTTTACAGCATGTGATCGACGTTGCCTGATTCAGCCATGGTTCTGTATTCTTTTGCCCCAGTCCAGTAACATTGAAAGGTGAGGAGGCTGATAACACGCATTGCAGAAAGTTTCTCGCGTCTTTCCTAGTTTTCGTCGGATGAGCAGTTTTTATCTGCCATGCTCCAGCCGTGTTGCTACATGAAAAAGGAAGGATTCCGGCTAGCCAATCTTCTAGCAGTACTCAAAGAAGTCTGTCAATGTTTATCTATCTGCCTGCGCATCGATGCTCGCGTTATCTTCATGACTTGGCCTAGGCTAGGCGTAGTGCTCCAAAGCTTGCTTCACGAGCGTCTGGCACGTTAATCTTCGTTTTGCTTGGCATATGTGCGCTCGAATAAAGCATACAACCTTCTCATTTTGCACGTTTTATGTCCTTTTGCTGCGAATCACTCGGTTTCCTCCGCCAGACAGCGCCGCGCTATGGCCATTTTTTGCGAGTCAAAACGTCAAAGTTGCGCGTCAAACGGTATGTGTGATCGAGCCAATTGTGTGCAACTTCGATTTCACGATACCATTGAGCGTAAAATGAAGAGAACCAATATTGTGAACCGTGCAAAGAGGTGCGACTTATACAAAGATGTGACTTGTATACCAATTTTTCTGTGAAAACTGCTCAGTATACGGAAGTGTGACTTACAGTCCGGAAAATACAGTAGGTCTTTTAAATTCCTCTATGATACAACAAGGCCTGAAAGATATCCTCCTTAATCTCTGTATTTCCACCTTTTCTAGCCTCTTCCTTTCATTCCCCTTTTCCTCTTTTGGACTGCTTCTGCTGTCTCCCTTTTCCTCGCTTGTTTGGGTTTTGTTCTTGTTTTTCACTGCTTATTGTCAATTGTATGAAATCTTCCCCTCTGTGTGCATCTCTCCTAAATAATGACAAGAAGTTAGCATTCTTTTTTATTTATTTATTTATTTTATTTGGGTGGAAAACTGCTGAAAACTAGGATTGTTATATCTATGTATTTTTTCTGAGGCTTCTTGTAATACTATTACATTGTTTACACCACCCCCCCTCCTTAAAAAAAAACAAGAAAAACACCGACATGGGTGTAGCATTGCAAATATTTTGCTAGATTTCACAGGCAATAATGAGGATAGCCAGTGATATATTTTTGCGTTAAGGGTACCAAATGAATATTTACCTTATTTTTATGTTTTATGAAGCTTTTCTGTGAGTTGTGCTTATTTTCGCTTTCATGTGGCAATTTACAATCACTAAGATAGCAATAAGTGTATTATTCAAGATAGGGAGATAGATACCTATAAGTAAATTGATCAACTATATAGAATGTCTAGTACTGTGTTGCTGAAAATTGGTTAGGTCTTTTGCCAAAAGCACTGTATACACAGATCATCATTCCTTATGCCTAAAGCGCGAGACACATGGATGGCAGAATCGTCCGATCCGACAGTTCGAACGCTGCTCCGAATCGCCGCATGCGACAGTTTGAGACACACGCTTCCGACCTTGTATGCGACACGACGATCCGTTCGGCTCCGCCCAGGAGATCCAAGCACTCTAGCAGAGGTCCGCATTTACAGATCTCTGGCCCCAGATTGACAGTTTAGCTGACACGAGCGAAGTTAGAAGCTCGTTCTCGTTAGCTTGTGCATTCTTTGCTGGGGCCATCTTTCTCGAATGGGTCAGCGGCATCCACGCGTCCGGTTTTCCGTCGCCCGTCCTGTTTTCTTGTTCGTCCCGACAGACCCAGTAGGTCATCATGACGTTCGCGCTAGCTGTGCTGTCATTGGCTGGACGCATCCGACAATCCGTCCACCGTGCGAAACTATCTGGTGCGTTGGACGCATGTCGGATCGCCGATCCGACGTTTGAAGCGACCAAATTTTTTGGATCAGGCAGTCGTACTGCCGGATCGGACGTCGGATCGGATGGATTTTTCGCGCATGTGTCTCGTGCTTAAAGCTTACAGTGATAGAAACAGGCAATACTGGGATAGCATAACAGGCAGATTCTCTGCACTTTGGCTGTCCTGGAGGGATCTAAATGGATGGGATGGGGACAAGTTGGGCTGGATTTATAAATGTGCGCATTTTAAGTGCTTTCAATTGTACCGAGCAGATCAGTTTAAACTGTACACTAAATGTTTTAATAGCTGGTCACAAATTACAAGGAGCATTTGTGCCCAAAGATTTGCCTTGGCTTGGCTTACTGAGCTAACGGAGTATAATTATTTATTGACAGGATTGAACGGATGGCTCAAGACATTGTGCAGCACTACAACGAGAAGCCGTTCCGGGCGCTGTGTGTGCTCAAGGGTGGCTATCGCTTCTTTGCTGACATGCTCGACAGGATCCGACAGTACTACCATTTCGGAATCTCGTCAGCACCGTTCTCCACGGACTTCATTCGAGTAAAAAGCTATGTGGTGCGTGTCCATAGTGTCGCCTCTTACGATATTTATGTCCATTTTAAGTTCATGGATTCTTCCAAATGCACACGTACGAAACTAGGGTTGTTCCTTTGTGATCCCTATGACAGAAGCTCATTGAGAACTCGTATTTAGCCAGAATTTCACTTCAGAAAAATTTCTATACTTTGACCATTATTTTTATTTTTTTTCTCTGTATTATGCCAAAGTTTTACAAAGGTGGCATTTGATTTGAGTAACCAACTTTTTTAGGCCCCAAAAGTGTTCAGTAAATACCCCATGCATTCCTGAGTTATACAAATAAAAGGTCTTATGCTAATTTGTTTTTAAATGAAGAATTTCTGTTAGATTTGTTACCTATACTTTCAATGCATATGCTTCGTTAATTGAGGCTAGAGGTCTCTTTAGTCGAAAGCGATTGGTCACAAAAATGCATTTGCTGTGGCACTCTGTTATCAAACAAATTTCTGTTTGAGTAACGCAAGCTATGCCGCAAGGTTTATATAGTACTGGAGTGTGGCAGCCGTGATACAAAAAATAACCGATGAAGTACTTCGACTTCATCAGCAAGAACAGTAATATGAAAATGAGAGCATGTGTGCCCATTCATTGCTGTTGTCTGTCAGATCACAATGTAAAGGTTGTCATCCTTTTTGGAAAGCCTTCAGGTATTGAGAGTTCATTATCTGAGTGAGCAGGTAAGAGTATTGAAGTTGTCAATTAAATGTAGCAGTACTAATTGCTTGCATCTGCTTGCACTTTATTGTTGATGAGTGGTTGAATATGTCTGGTTTCCTCTAATGTTTGCTTTTATAGCCTCATCAATTGATTATTTTTTTCTAAAGGAATGGTACACATATTACTGTAAATGAGTAAGCCGGGACTGTTTTTACAATTCTTTGGCTTGCCAGGCGGGAAGTAGTATTGTCACTAATGAAAACTTTTTTTAACTATGCCTCTCCCGACTTGCCAAGATCAGGTAGGCAGTCGAATCAACATGAGGGTGATATGTTCATCTTATTGTCTTATAAACGTTGGGAAGATATCTGTTTAATTTTAGCATCATGGTTTCCAGGTTACCGGAGTAATTTTAAAGGTTCTTTTTATTTGCAGTAATGTTTGGAGGTGGGCTAGTCGGTGATGCATTGTAAACATAGAAATAAAACAGCGCAAACGAACACAAGGACAAGTAGAAGAAGGGACACAGACACAGCGCTGACTCACGACTTACTTTCTTTCTCATCTTTTTAAAACATATCAATGTAAGAAAACAAGAAATGAAAAATAAAAGAAGAAGAATCCAGCATGTAGGACACCTTCTCTGTCATATGCCATCTGAGGAATTGTTTAAAGAAACTATACATTATATACCATTACAAAAAAAACAAATTAAAAAAAGCCAAAAACCACAGCGCGAGCCCTAATGCTCTGTGCGTACCTGTCTTGCACGCGGACTCTTGGTATGTCGGAACCCTTTTCTGGCTGCATGTAGGCACGCGCCTGTGGTTATAGGATCACTCCCATGGAAGCAGAAAGAAAGTATTAAACAAACGTGCCCTAACTCCGAAGAAACTCTAACTCTTCACTGTATAACGTCACTGACTCTGAACTGACGCATAGATCTTTCAATAAAGAAGCTCTCAAACATGATTTTGCAATAGCTCTTTTTACAACTTTTACAACAATGAATCTACGCACTCAAAAGTTGTAAAAAGAGCTATTGCAAAATCATGTTTGAGAGCTTCTTTATTGAAATCCTGTGTTCACAGAAGTTTCAACAGCTTTCTGGCTCAAGTCGATAGGTTAAAATAAGCGGGTTTCCTGAAACTTGTCATAGTGGGGGTAGCAAAGTCACTTTTAAGATTATTCAGGAATCCCCTTAACATACTTGACAATGTTAGACAAAAGCCTGCCTCTCGACCGGTGGTAATACATACCATATTTGCACAGTTTTTCCCACAGGATCAAAAAAGTGGCTGTTAAATAAGAAGTTCCCATAGTCTTTTCAGCACCTTCCAAGCTATCCCGTTTGTGTGCGTCCATTGAGAGAGCAGGACTTCAGCGTGTAGGGTGTGGAATAAACCATCGCATCAAATATGTAGCTTGTGCTGTGGGGGTCGTTTATAAAATACCCTTTTCATGTGGTAAAGTGTATATTGGGCAGACGGGCAGATGTATTAATGTTCGAGCTCGGGAGCATTATCTGTCTTTGAGGTCTTCACCTTCGGGTCACCTAGCCATTCATTGTGATAGGTGTGGTTGTTCCCCTCGGTTAAGTGACATTGAAATTTTGGCTAAACATTCACAAAAAATGGCAAGGGAAATTCATGAAGCGTTTTACATTCGACAACACGGCCCCGATGTATGCGTCTGTTCAGAGTCGGTGACGTTATACAGTGAAGAGTTCGAGTTTCTTCAGAGTTTGGGCACGTTTGTTTAATACTTCCTTTCTGCTTCCATGGGAGTGATCCTATAACCACAGGCGCGTGCCTACATGCAGCCAGAAAAGGGTTCCGACATACCAAGAGTCCGCGTGCAAGACAGGTACGCACAGAGCATTAGGGCTCGCGCTGTGGTTTTTGGCTTTTTTTAATTTGGTTTTTTTGTAATGGTATATAATGTATAGTTTCTGTAAACAATTCCTCAGATGGCATATGACAGAGAGGATGTCCTACATGCTGGATTCTTCTTCTTTTATTTTTCATTTCTTGTTTTCTTATGTTGATATGTTTTAAAAAGATGAGAAAGAAAGTAAGTTGTGAGTCAGCGCTGTGTCTGTGTCCCTTCTTCTACTTGTCCTTGTGTTCGTTTGCGCTGTTTTATCTCTTTTTATTTAATTGAAAGATTCCTGCATATCAGGACTGAGCAGATATAGTACTCCAAAAAGTGTTTGGAAATACGTTGAACTGAGATACATATATGTTAAGACCCAAAATACAGATGCTGAGATACATTTGTCCTTTATGCAACCCTGAGATATACTTCTGCAAAAACAGCGAAAAAAGTATTCCGGAATACAGATAGAGATACATATAGAAATATGTTTGTTCCCAAACAAACGTTTGCATTCACCATGCCCTGGAGAGGGCATGGTGAATGCCAGGGCATGGTGAATGCCACCATGCCCTGGAGAGGGCATGGTGAATGCAAACGGTGTCATTTTATGCACTTACCCTTACCTTAAACTTTTTATTTATCAAAAATGCTGCTAAGAAAACGTTGCCCCCTGTAAGTCATATAGTTACTGAATGGTAAAGACTGCATGAAATGCTTGACGAAAGGCGTCTGCACGAAACAAACCCTGTCGTCTTATATGCTTGTGACTCGCCCATAGTATGGGGACACCGGACAACAGAGCCGTACCTTTTCTCCGCTCAACTCCTTTACAGCGTTTGCCTGCTAAATTGGAAAAAGTGGAAGGCTTTGGGAGGAGCTTATTCTGTTATTTTTGCAAATTATTCTTTAAGCCACAGTTTTTAACATTGGTGTCTGTGATGGATCATAGGGCGGGTTCATGTTGTTAATTCTGAAGCACCTTGCACCGAGCGGATGTTTTTATCTCTTGAAGTCATCGTAAAAACGGCAACAAATGTAACGAGATACCCAAGTCTGGCAAAATATTGCGATGCGAGGTATATGCTGTAAATGTATTTCACTACTGAGATACAAATACATTTTTCGGGTATCTCAATACAGAGATACAGATACTTGAAAGTATCTCTAAGATACTATCACAATACATTTGTATCACAATACTGCCCAAGCCTGCTGCATGCCATTACCTTACATGGCATTGGTTTTGTTCTATTGTTCTAGGATGACAAGTCAACTGGCAATGTGACCGTGGTTGGACTGGACAATATGGAGTGTCTAAAGGGAAAGGTGAGGCAGAGTTATTTATATGCTTGTTATAATTACATGTATAACATAATGTCGGTTGAAACCCCGAGTTTGGTTCTTATAATCTGGCAACCCAATTTAATACAAATAGATTTTGTTTTTGTTACTAGAACCTCCTGATTGTAGAAGACATCATTGACACTGGAAGAACCATGGCTGCTTTGCTAGAGCACCTCAAGACATTTGAGCCTAATGAAATCAAAGTGGCTAGGTATGTACACACCTGTGCCTCATATTAGTTTTCATGCTGAATAAATAAATAAATACATAAATCATCCTCAGTCCAAATGAGCAAACAAAAATGAAGCCTAGCCTTTTTTTATTTCTTTTTTTATGGTTTTATGTTGAATACAAGAGTTGAATGATTATGAAAGGGTTGATAACTGGGCTAGTTGGTAGTTAGACATTTGAACGGTATTAGCGCACACGTATGAAGAAGAGAAGAGACAGAAAAGAGCGCTACTCACAACTGTATTTACAAAGATGAAGAAAAGGAAGAACATCGTCAAGATCCCCATAAAGATGACAAAAGAAAGAAAAGGAAGCAGAAATATAAAACAGGAATATAAAACACCCGACTGTGTTTTATATTCCTGTTTTATATTTCTGCTTCCTTTTCTTTTTTTTTATCTTTATGGGGATCTTGACGATGTTCTTCCTTTTCTTCATCTTTGTAAATACAGTTGTGAGTAGCGCTCTTTTCTGTCTCTTCTCTCTTCTTCGTACGTGTGCGCTAATACCGTTCAAATGTTGAATGATTAGATAATCGTAGAAACCCATCAATGGGCAAGTTTATAATTTCGAGAGCACAGCAACCCCTCATCTTTTCTGATATTCTTTCACAGTTTCTGATACATAGTACAGCAGTTCCTAGTTGTGCATCTTGCTGTATTAAGGAACCAAGTTTAAGGACACCGGTCTGCATATTGACATGATCATTCTATCTTGGCTAACACAACTTGGTTTACATGGTTAACACATTATTTTCTCTTAGCCCTTCAAATGCAACTGGAGGCCAATTACACTGTGTTTATGCAAAAAAAAAAGGTCAATCTTTTTGTGAACAAAGCCCAGCCATATACTTTCGTGCAAAGCACATTTAGGGTCAGTTATTGCAATTATTTCTATTATAGATACTACTGGCTGCGAGTGCACCCAAGGCAGAGGCACACTAAAGTGGATAAGAACAAAGGCAATCCAAAGTGCTTGCACTGTTGCATGCAAGGTGCACTGTCATACAGGGCCTTTCAAACACTGTTAAATCTACAAAAGGCTGGCAGTCTTACAACCATCCTAACAGTGCCAAACAAATTTTATATCAGCATCAACACCATCTTGTTCATATTTACTAAAAAAGAATTTCAACAAGAGGATCAAGTATGAAACTCTACAGAGTACAAAAAACAGTTAACGTTCAAGTTAAAGAAAAAATACATTGAGGAAAAATTAAACATTTGTTAGATTCGAGATTTATAGAATGAGAGCTGTGAATCGCGAGGCACCAATGATGTTGAACTTAAAAAAAATATGATTTCTGGTGAGATATTGAGCATGGGAATGTATTGCCCAGCGTCCTAGTGCAAGGTGCTTTCTTTGAACCCAAATATTGGCTGCATGTTCACTTGCTGGACACCTTTTATAAATTGCAATGATTGACCTTTGCATACCCTACAAGAGAGAATGTCAGATGCACCGTTCATAAAAAGGTTGACCTATTTTTGGAGTAATTAAATATATAAACTGCATTTAGCATTGCATATTTTTACATGGCTTCAGTGGAGGGGCTGCATGCAAGAACCAGCTATACTGATTGCAGTTGATAAATTTGTATGTAAAGGAAACATTATTTGATTTTTCTAACTTAGAACTAACTATTTGATGTTTTTAACTTTGAAAAATATCATCCTGTATAATAATGCTGTGATAGAATGCTTTGTGGCAAGAATGATGTAAATTCAGATGACTAGGTAGTCCTTGATTAATGGTCATAATATTGTCTCTTTAACAGGTGGACTTTAATGGATATCAGTGGTCATAACAGATTGTACGAGATTAAAGCCAAATTCTTCATATTTCCCTTGCTTTTTTTTTTCAACAGTTTGTTTGTTAAGAGAAGTCCTGGATCCAGTGGCTACAGACCTGACTGTAAGTGGGCTGACCTGCCCTCGTTTCACAGTTTATAAATTAGTTGTCGGAGTGCATATAAATAGTGCACCAAACAGCAGCAATGAACTGGAACATGCCATACCTTTACCTTATCCTTCCTTCTTTCCAGATTGTGGCTTTGAGATCCCTGACAAGTTTGTTGTTGGGTATGCCCTGGACTACAACGACCATTTCCGTGACCTTAGTGTGAGTACTGTTGTACTATATTAAATTAGGAGGCAATGTGTAAATTTGCTTTAATGGGTAACGAACAACACAGAAACCCGGACAGAGTAGAAAACTGAAGACAAACACGGTGCTGATTTACAACTGAGCTTTAATGGACCTGACGAGTATAACTACCAAATTTGCTCGAACCAGAAGCCAATGAGTAGAGGCTCCTGACGTCCACAGATTACCCGCAGATTACCCACGGATATCTGCGATCAAGTGGCAGATGCAGATAAAAATTAATCGAATTGTGGATCGGATGGGAATATCCGCGGGTCCGGATTTGCATTTTTGCCAAGGCAGCCCATAGGCCTGTGCGACCGCAGAGTGTAGAGTAACTAAGTGAGTGATACTATGGAGTGCATCATTGAATGTTCTGCGGTAGCAAAATACTCTCCTAGAAAGAGGGTGCCAATCTGGGTACAAATGGTCTTTATGCCAGGAAATGCCCAATTCTCACCAAAGATTGCTTTAGAGCGTTTTATCTCGCCGAAAATGCTGTTGATAGAAAATGTAAATAAAGCAGGGGCATCAATTGTCCTGGGAAAATGCGTCCTTGCTTGGAGGGGAAAGAGCACTAAACGTTCTTCGGATGCTTAATGAACCCAAAGCCTTCAAGCCACAAGAAAGTAGAATCCTCCTACCCCAAGAGTGAGGTACAAGTTCCCATACCTCAGGCTTGTAACGCAGTTCATGAATGCCACCCCAGCATCAAGTGCACCAATGGAGAGATGCTTTTCATTTGCTGGCTCATCTGTAGCTTGCACCCCTATTGCTTCCCGCCTCTGCTCTAATCAGTTACTGTCAGCGTGCTTGGATCCCCTTGAGAAACCTTACTTGCCTTGCAATTTAAGAGTTGAACCAGTATGAATCCATCCATCATTGACGATATTCTGCTTCTACACAAACTCAACAAAAAAAAAAAAAAATTGGGTTGTGTGTATGTTTATACAGCCCAGAACTTGGTCTGCCTCACAGGGACGACGAGTCTCCCAGCTGTAGATGACCAATTTAGCCAGTGCAGTACAACCGCTAGCCTGGGTTCTTTAACGTGCATCACGCAGTAGTGATACACGACCGCATGCCGGTACGATGCTCATCCAGATCGAAACTGGGAGGGGTGGGAATTAAACCTAGGATCACTGCGAGCTTTTGCTCCCCTTGCTCCGAGCTGGTGTGCGCTAGTCCACTCGGCCACCGATCCCCCAGCAAACTCAACAAGTAAAACATAATGTGTGTGGATTTTTTTTTTTTTTTTTTTTTTCCTTGACAGTTGGAAAGTTGTTTTTAAGTATCTGGTTCGGAGCACGCAGTTTCGGGTTTGTTTAAAACTGAAACCGATAGGTGTTGCCATTATTGAATATTTCAATATTTTCCATATGGTGTAACCGCATCTTGTCGTGTATACACTGCTGCGGTGAATGAATGCATTTCACCTCCCACATTTTTTATTGTTTACCGAAATAAAATTACACAATGAGTTTATTTTCTGTTAATTTTCATGTGTTGAAAATATGCATCTAAGTAAAGTGGGTGCTGCAAACCAAAAAAAGAACTACCGTATATATATATATATATATATATATATATATATATATATATATATATATATATATTTTTTTTTTTTTTTTTTTAGCACATTTTTTGGGCAGATTTTGTAAAATCTCAAGACTATCTCACAACTGCAATCATCTCTCCAACGATGCAAAGTGTCTGGAAGATCGGCCGCTTATAATATAAATATGATAAAACAGAGTAGAATAAAATTACTTTCACTTTATTCTAGCTCAAAGTGCTTTGATTTTTTTCTTAAATTTTTTTTGTAGAAAGGTAAGCAAATGGCTCATAAGGTACTGTCCAGATGTCTTTTTTTAAAAGCATTAAGTGTTTCACGGAGCGAGCCGACGTCATCAGCTTTGAAACCATGCGAAACGGCACCTTAATGAAACTATGCGCAAAGCTAGCCAATGGCACCTTTTACACTTCAATCCCATTGGCTGGCGCGCGTCGACGAGGCACCCATTGGCCGCTGCGCGTCAGTTTGTGTAGTGTCATCAACACTGTGTTATCACACTGTTGTCGGTTGTACGGTGCCTGGCAATATATACGGCACATGGAGTAAACCAAGGGGTTCGTTCTGCTGGGAGCTACGTTGATGTCTGTTCCTTCCTCGCGCCGCAAAGCACACAACAGTTTGAACGATCGTTCGCCCGATGGCGCTGCATGTTCGCGAGGCAGCGGCGCCACCATTCCATGCCCAAGGTCAGCACGCTGTACGCCACAAATTAAAGAAGGGAGCGAAGAGCGGCGTGCATGCTTTCGCATTCACAACTCATTAGAAGTGCTTAGGTGTACCTCGAGCCTTTTTTTATGCTTGCTTTTATTATGTAAAATAAATGCGCGTATTGTGGGTTGGATGTGGTTCAGAATTTTGCGGATGAGATTCAGATGCGGATACAAAGTATGCAAATGCGGATCAGATGCAAAAATTTAAGAACATTGCGGATGTGGTTCAGGTGCGGATAGGAAGTTTGCGAATGTAGATCAGATGCAGATGCTCAAACCATTATCTGCGCAGGGCTCTACCAATAAAGGAAACAGCACTTAAAAAGGGCAAAACATGTTCCTAAAGTCATCTGCGCACACTGCTGTTCACCGATCTACAATCTACAAAGAGAACAGCAGTGCACGCAGATGACTCCAGGAACATGTGTCGTCCTTCTTAATGTTGTTTCCCTTACTGGCTTTTAGTTCAGGCAATTTTTGTATTTATACTCGTCAGATCCATTAAGGCTCGGATGTAAGTCAGTGCTGTGTTTGTCTTCATCTTCTACTCTATCTGTATCCCTACACTGCTTGTTACCTGTTCAAATGAACCAACTAGCCCATTTGTCAACGCTACTAGGTATAAATTTACACTAACCTCCCATTGTCTAAACCTTCATACAGCAAATATGACCTGACATATGCCATACTATTTACCAGGATGGTTCCCTGTTACAATATGGCTATGCTCCGTTTTGCCTAATACTATCGGAGCTACTAGCCAGTGTTCGGAGCATGTCGCAGGACCTTCTGACTGGGTGGAGCAACGTGTGGAGTGTCAAGTCACGTGACGCCCATGAGGCACTGCACTGGCTAACGTGGCTCATGAAGTTCCTTGCAGTGCGTCGTAAAGTGAAATTGAGAACAAGGAATTGTCATGAAACATGCATCTGTTCTTTGTTTCAGCATGTGTGCACCATCAGCAACCAAGGAAAGCAAAAATATGCAGACTCCAACGGGACGCTTTGAGCAGTGCCCGACTGTCTTGAGGATGTCTGGTCTACAGCCAAAACGTTACAAAGGACTAATTGTTATTTTTTATTTTGCTTTATTCTGAGGGCTGGACAAAAAGCCCTAGGCTTTTTTAGTAGTGCACTGAAAAAGATGTCTACATATCCGGATGAAAGAAAACATCAATGCACTCTCGAAATTTTCCTTCTAGTCCAAAAATGTCAGTATCAAGATTACCTCAGCTAGATTCAAATTTGTTGAAAGCCCGTGGCAAATGAGCCATGGGATCAGTTTTGTACAAAGGAAAAGGTTAAATAAGGAGTGAACACGGCTTAGCCTCCGAGGTACTCGGAAACATGCACTGCTCAGGAGCGCCGGCAAGTCTAGCCAACCCTTTAAAACATTGTCCAGGAGCATAAAATCCTGAATCATCCCTCTATTACACGAAAATTTGAAGCCAGTCAGATTACAAATTCTGTTATAGTCATAAAATACACTGGGTTGTAAATAATGATCATAAAACACACATAATTTATCTTTGGATATGCTCAATACTAGACAATTTGGTCACTCCAATGGAGTTTCACACAACATTCAATCTTAAGGTGGCATTGTACAAGGGAATGAAATAACATGAGAAAACAAATGCAGTTCCTAAAGGTGTCAGATACATGCTTTATGACACCTAAAGTGCATAGAGACGAATTGACAACATGCATAACGATTGAAAGAAATCTCAGTATCTATATAAACACCCAAGTCCCGAGTCAGACACACATGACTAATAACTGTAATATCTAAAGTGTAGCACAATTTCATGATGTCATGTTTTCTACCTAGAGAAATAACTTGTATTTGATTCGTTCATAACAAGACCTTTAGACAAGCACCACTTGGAGACAGAACACACATCGCATTGAAGAGATATAGGCAATTACTTCATGTTGCTTGAGTACATAGCAGATGTCAGCATATTTTTACCAACTGTTACTAATAACTTGTGTGGACTGGTTGATTGTTAGATGTCCACTTCTTACATCTTGCATTTAGCACATAGTCATGAAATAAGGAAGTGGAAGTTGATTAAAATCTGTGTGTTTGTTTTCAGGCGAGACATAAGACTGACCTGACCCAGTGAAAATATTTGTTATGCCAGACAAATGATTGTCAGGTGTTCTAGTTTGTTTCGCTGAGTATTCATTCCATAATGCTCAGGGGGGAGTATGTAGCTGTAAACACCTGCAGTCTGAAAATGCATGCATATACCAGTTTTCGTCAGAAACTGGGCATTTTACTTATAGTGAGAGCTTAAAACAACATTGTTATGAACAGTTTTGAATTCGAGATTATAGCCTTTGTTTATACATATAAGTCTGGTTTTGTACTTTGTATTTTTGCCGGTTTTGTACTCTCCTAGTTTCGTCGCCAAAGGATATTTGTTTGGTGTGCATAGTAATATTTTGAAAAGTAAAACTACCTAATTGGAGTATGTGTTGCGTCATTATTTACTTTGGAAACCAAGACATTGCATCAAGTTTGCGTTTTAACACGAGAACACCATTTGGTAATGATTGCAAAATTGGGGTTACAATTGCCTGTCTCACTTTGTCGCCGGATTTGCCCGAGACTTTGCAATGCTGACATTTTGTGCTTTTTGCCATCCGGGTTTTTAACATAAAAATGTATGTCTAAGAGGAGCTGAAACTTGCCAGACGATGAATATGCACCTAGTAGAACGTGGGACCAAACACAGAATTCAATGGCAATGGCGGGTTAATTGGTTCATACTTATACTTTGTTTCAGCTTAAAAGTCCAGACCAAAGTAAGGTTGGTCCGGACGGAGCCTGAGCATGTGTCCCTGAACAGTGCTTGAACTCCTCGAGCGGGTGTGCTTAGCAGGGATGATATATGTACAAAAGCGAAGTAGAAGGGTTTACACAGGACAGGCGCTGTGCTTATCTTGTGTCTTCGTTTCTTGTGCGTTGTGTCGATTTTGGTGACGTAACACCCTTTGGAATCTCAACAATTGCTGGTAGTGCCGGTTGGGCGGGATAAAGTGTACAACCTAGGGGAATCCCCGAGAAAAGCTCACCGGAGAAAAGCTCACCGGAGAAAAACTCACCGGAGATAAGCTCACCGGAGAAAAGCTCACCGCAAAACCGGCGGATGCGGAGAAAAGCTCACCGATTTTTTTTTTCTTTTCATATGGAGGCTGTTGGATCATGCGTAACATATATCAATTTATTATCATTAAAGTTTGTCAGCTTTGTCAAAAAGAAAATGTCCTTTTTTGTATTATTTGCCAAGCTTATTAAGTATATTGCTCCCAAATTAATAATGCGGGCCAGTGTTTTCTGCGGCTTACTCTCTAGGCAACTAAAGACTAACTGAAAATTTTATGAACTTGAATAACGTGAAAAAGTTCGAAAACTTATGTCTCCTTAAAACCTAAAAATCAAAACTGTAAACACCGAAAATCCGAAAGTGCATGCGCAACAACGCGGTGCCTGAAATTCTCGTTGAAGCTTTTATTAACCTATGAAAACAGGATAAAGCAGTCAGTAGGATATTGAGGCTTCTTTCTTCCGCGGACATGCACGTTTTCTAGCCGTTCGTGCTGGTATTTCCGCACGTTGCCTTTGTGTGATAGTGCCCTTCTAAGGTGAGCCACTCATGACTTTCAGAGCTGCACACTGGCACCATTGTTACTCGTGACCTTTATGAAAAATGGTCTTCTGTAAGGTAGCGAATAGGGCGAGTTGGTAAACGTTATACATGATGAAAACCGCTCAATTAAACGACTACGACGGAGTGAAGACAACAAACACGACAGGACGAAGCTGTTCTCGCAACTAAAGTTTTCTTAGTGAAATTAACAGAAAGAAAACAGCGTAGCGGACACTGATTGCATCAACAAATACCTACTTAACTATTAGGCTCTACAGAATATTTAGAGCTGAAAAGGTTTAAACACCGCTATTCATATTAGCTCACAAAGAACAAACCTCTTTATTTGACAGAGCTACCGACGGCGCACCCTCAGTTGTCAATAAATTGTCTTTTTTACCGGTGTACGATGTTCTGATATAATTTTTGCGGCTTTATTAATATACAGAATGGGGGATTACTAATATCTCAGGAATTAGTAAATATGCTCAATGACCTTCAAAAATATTACAAGAAAGAGGAAATTTTTTTTTTTTTTTTAATGAAGTGGCGAATGCGAATTGTGTTAAATTGCCAAGTTTAACGCAAAATCCGCTAAGTAAAAAAAAAAAAAAAAAAAAAATCTGTGAGCTTTTCTCTGCATCTGCCGGTTTTGCGGTGAGCTTTTCTCCAGTGAGCTTATCTCCGGTGAGCTTTTCTCCGGTGAGCTTTTCTCCGCCGCCCAACCTAGGGTGCCTTCATGTGCGCTTTGCTTAGAGTGGAGACATCTGGCCATTTTGTTCCCACTTTTACATTTATTTTTTGTTCAGAAACGCGTGAAAGAGCGTGTCCCTGCACGCGTCTGTGGCGCTGACTGTGCTATGGCGACATTTTGTTTTCGTCGATTTCTTTGTATCTTCCCCGTGAGCGCGTGCTGTCGGCATCGGGTACTACAAAAGGTGGTATCACTCTAAACAGAAGGTCATTGAGGCACCCTAGAACAAGTACCCCACACTGCGCAGCTTCGTGCTCTCTATGGACTGCTGTAACTGTATTGCGCCCTGCTTGAGAACATACCGAACCAGTAAGCGCGGTCTACCGTTGTGCGCGGCGCACTACATTACACTACCGTATAGAACTCATGCGTGCATTTTGGAAGCATTCGTACAGGCTCTACCACACTTCATCCCAAGTCGCTTCATCCCAGGACAGTTCATCCCAGACACATCATACCAAAGTCATTTCATCCCAGGATGTTTCGCCCCAAGACAGTTCATCCCATGGACAATTCATACAACGACATTTCATACCAGAATAGTCCACACGATCCAGCAGATTCAAGGGCTACTCACTTCATCCCAGGTGATGAAACATCTTGGGATCAAACGTCTTGGGATGAAACACCTTTGGTATAAAGTGTCTGGGATGAAGTGTCCTGGGATGAAGTATCTTGGAATGAACTGAGTGGACCCCTTCGTACAGTATTGCAGTGAGTAGATAGCGCGCCACTGTTGGCGCGTACGAGCGACTGCCAGTTTTCATCGTAGAGCCAGGGCTTTAATTCATACAAAAATAACAAGTACGATGAGAAGTGCTCATTTGGGGAATTAACCTAAGGGGTAAAATTTTACACCCCCAATGCCCCTCCAAAAAAAAAGGGAAAAAAAAGACGCTGGTGTTAAATTTGCGTTAACTATGTCGCGCAGCGAGTCGAAACTGAAACCGAAACCCCCAAATTGGCTTCCGCAGAAAACGAAAACAACTCGTAATTTTATTTTTAAATAATTTAAAATATATTAACTTTATTTTCAACAATATAAACACTAGTTTATTTTTATCCTGCTATTCCCAATACCAGAATTATTTTTTCGCGTAATTTGACATTCAAGAGCATAATCCGAAGTCGAGAGTCGAGACCAACGTTAATCGAGCCTCGTCTCCTAGCAACAGGAAAAACGCCATGGCAACGAAGTTTGCATCTTTCGAACTTTCGCTCGCGTAGGATCGTGATCCACTCAAGTGTCTGGGATTATTGGGATTACTAAAAAGCTTGTTGATATGAGACTCAAGACTTACCTACACAAGGAGCCCAAACATATCCTTTGTTGCGCGATCTGCCTGCTCAGGTTTAGAGTGTGCATATTTTTCGTTCTCAACTTTCAAGACTATTCGAACTTGTTTTGCTAAACTTTACAGTGCTTCACTCGGTTCATAACGAAATCACAATTTTCTTTGTTAAAATAACTGAACACTTTATATATATATATATATATATATATATATATATATATATATATATATATATATATATATATATATATATATATATATATATATATATATATATAGATAGACATGCGTCGTTCGTGTTTGCTACCTGAAATTACCAGCAACATTTCGTTGTCATTTCTTGTGCCCGTACCCCAGCACATGTTGTTGATCCCTGATTGAGAAATAAATGCGGAGATTGCCAGCGGCGTTACCTGGAGCACCACAGACGAGGTGCTGTCGTGCAGTGATGATCACAAAATCCTGTCGTGGAACCTGGTTACCAAGGACAGCGCCAAACTCACAGACCTGCCCGAAGATCTGTTCCCAACTTCGATCCACACGCTCCCACGAATCGCCGGCACTGGAGTGACGAGGAAAAGTCCCGGCGGTGGAGATGTCATACTAATCACGACAAGTGATGGTAGGATCCAAAGTGTCAAGCATCCTCTTCTTTTTTTTTTTTTTTTTCTCTTGTTACAGGGATGGGTAAAAAACATTATCAAGCAGACTTCATTTGCACCACGATAACACGGAACTTTAGAGAACCTCAAAACGGCAGATGACGTTTGGCCTATGAGACCTATCATCAGACAATTTGATAAGGAATTTTGTCAACTGGACTTGTATCGTCAGTATATGGACACAGTTGCAGAGCTTTACTATCTTTATTGATCAACAAAGTTTTATATTATGAGAGTAATCTTTCTGGGATTACTGTTGAGCGGTATGGCATAAAGCTTGCCAGCAGGTTTAACGAATATCAGACAAATTAAGAAAGCAGCATATAGGGACTAAAATAGTTATGAGCTTGTATAAAATTATTATTTTGTGCTTTCTTGTTTGTAGGAAAGCTCTGCCTCCTCTCGAAGAATGGAAGAATCGAAAAGGCGGTTGAAGCCCACAGGGGTGCTGTCCTCGCAGGGCAATGGAGTCCTGACGCCACGGCTCTCGTGACCGGTCTGAGTTTGCCACACATTGAATAATTCTGAACTCATCGGGGTTGCCTATAGTGCTTGTGCTTGTATATGCGATTAATTTCCTTCAGTTCCAACTAGGGTGACCACCTTCCTGCAAGCGAAATGCGGGACAGCGGGGCAGTGAGGGCGGGAGGCGGGGGGGGGGGGGGGGGGGGTAGAGGAAATTTATTAACGCGCACATTACGAACCCAGGCTCTGTTAACACATTTAATACCCTGTGCTGTTTATACACCTTCTAATCGTATTGCAGGCTCAGCAACTCAGCTCAAATATTTTTTTACTCCCAGTGATATACTTTTTTTTTTATGCCAAATGTGTTATTAAATGTGTCGAAACCTAAAACATAAAAATCAACTGAAGCAGAACTCAATTCATCAAATGGAAATAAGAAAGCGTAAATCTTTTTCTGGTTATCGTTTCCTGTCAAAGCTTACTTTTATCGCAACATGGTGCTACACTCTATAAAAAAAGCCCGTGCGTCTACTTTCACGCACAACACTCGGCGGGCCGATCACCGCGAGTTACGGAGGCAGCTCAGCGAATGACGATGCCGAAACATATGTTTAGACCGAAAAACGCAGGAGTTTTGACATTAAGCAATGCAAAACGTCGCACTTGCATTGCGTAATGTCACAACTCAGACTGCGTTTTTTTTTTTTTTGGGGGGGGTTTAAACATATGCTTCGGCGTCGTCATTCGCTGAGCTGCCTCCGTAACTCGCGGTGATCGGCCCGCCGAGTGTTGTGCGTGAAAGTATACGCACGGGCTTTTTTTAGAGTGTACACAAATTTTTAACAGTATGTTCTTTTTCGACCCTTGTGAGTTGCAGGTTTTTTCCCTTGTGTAGTTGTCTTCACGAAAAAAGAAAAAAAGAAATCCACGGCAAACCTTTTGCTGTGACACAGTGATATGAAAATAATTACAGTATCTTATATCTAAAATTTTGTCGAGAAATTTTTCTTACAATATTTTGCTACCAAGGGGAGAGGCGCAACGGAGCAAGCGCGTCGGTTCTACTGCGAGAACGACGGTCGCTTCCCGCAATGCTTGGATAGAAAATGGCGTACCCATGCGATTCACACGATTAACAGCGACCTCTGCGCTTCCCCGTGCCCCGTTGTTCGGCAGCACCATGAGTTACTGAGTGAATTTTACGACAGTATGAAATGCGGGACATTTTGAACATTTGAAAATTTCTTGCGGGACGCGGGACACGAGCCCTCAATGCGGGACAGTCCCGCGAGTCGCGGGACGGGTGGTCACCCTAGTTGCAACTGTGCAGCATCATTACTAAATATTAACTGCCTTGTAAAAGCATACTGGTGGAGTAAGCAACTGAATAACCTGCTAATATTAAAAGTACTAAGAATATTGTCATATTTCTTATGTTTGGTCTAAGAAAGTACACATTCAGTTAGAACTCTATTCAGTTAGAATCAGTATCCTGATTGGCTTACCTTCTAGAGAAAGGGTCTCAATCACACGGCCCACAGGCAACTGGCTGCATACACCCGTTCCCATGTCTCGAGCGCTAGAAATGGCATGCGCCATAATGATCTCATGTTGCTGGTTCATTTCCGCTTCATGCGTAGCTCTGCTCTTATTATGTATCATATCGTTTGTACTATTTTGTTTTCATTTGCCTTGTGTTTCGTTTTAATTTTTGCTTCCTAGCTTTCTTCGGGCAAGGACAGACCTTGGCTGCGCAAACTCTCGCTTAGGAGAAACTGCCATAGATACACCTACGAGTTCGAGATTCTGGCCTTCAAAAGTTATCACCAATAATACAAACCCTTAGTAAAACAAAAATTATCTCATGGACTTTTTTTTTTTTTTTTTTTTTCGGAACATGTTAAGCTGAAGTTTCTTGAGTGAATTGAGCAACAGGAACGACGTGCTTGCTCTCTTGTTTTATTAAAAAGCTTTTGCACATTGGCAAAGTGGTGTCACTTTAACTTGTGTTATTATATCAGGTAAGGGCGCAAATCAAGAAAGCTAAAAATATCACTGCCAAACTGCGGGCTTACAAAAAGAATAGACCACAAGGTTCGTTCTCAATAAAATCTCTTAACTCCCCCCCCCCCCTCTCCCCCCCACCTTACGTTGGCCTTCGACCTATGGGGAGTGGTTTATATCACACCGACACTCGGATGAGTTTGAGAGCCCTGTTCTAGAGTGACGGTGATTAGCTCTACCCTGACTGGTTACAACTTGCCTCTTGTTTGTGCACGTCTGTTACAAGCTGGTGAAGATGGCCACGTGAAGATCTGGTCGAGGAATGGAATGCTCCGATCTACTCTATCAACCAACTGTAAGACTTTCAAGCAATACATAACACAGACATAAATCTTTGCATTTTGAAATGTGGTAAAGAACGATCTGCAATGCAACTTGTCTTCTTTAATAGAAAAAAAAAAAGAAGAAATTAATTCTTGAGGAAGAAATGTGAGCCACTTCAGAGGAGCTCGCACAAGTTGTTGATACTAATCGATATTTTATTTACAATATGTCAAGATAGGATTTGCGATATGTCGCCAGATTTTCACTGAATTCCAAATTAAAAGCGCTATATAAGAGTCAAAATACTCAAAGTTAAATTGCTCTGTATACCATCATTCTTCATTTTCATGTTTATTTTTTTTTTTTTAGGATGACATATTAACAAAAAGAAAACAAAAAACAGGTCATATAAAATTCCTAGATGACATCTGAGAACCATCTTTAGGAAGTATGCTTTGTTTTATGCTGCAAATAATTATTTTCTTAATGCTGGCTTCTCATAGTCTTTGATTCACGGAAGTTCCTGTCGGAGCATTGTGTTGGACATGTTTATCAGTGCAGAAAGCTGCATCAATGCTTTGCAGCTCAGCCCATCTACTGCGTTGCCTGGGGCCCAAACTCCAACCAGGTTCTGTACAGCATGGGCATGCACCTGGTCATCAAGCCCCTGCAGCCAAACTCCAAGCCAACCCAGTGGAAAAGCCACGACGGCTTGGTCCTTGCAGTCGCCTGGAACACAAACAACAATCTAATCCTCTCTGGCTCGGAAGACTGCAAGTATAAGGTGCGCTCCAGTGACACCAATACTAAACACTCCATTTCACCTTACGACGGACCAGAATGGACGTTAGGAGCCTCCGTTCAAGCAAATGCTTGAGTTTTGAAATGCAGAAAGAACTCTTGGTATGCTTTCTTCGGTGACAAAAATCCTTGAACTTAAAGGGTGACTCTGGTCAAAAAAATTACTGGTACACTTTAGTGGCACGAAATATGATCATAGCCAAAGTATTATGTCAAAGTTAGGCTGTAGTACTCTACTGAAACTAATTTTAAAGATGCGACTAGCTGCGCTCTTTAGCAGATGGCAAGCGGGTAAGTTTTTAGTTGAGGGACACTGGCGCAGCACCCCTGTGATGTCACGTCGTGGTGGAGCTGCGGTGGATTGGTGGTACCACGTGCACAGCACCACGGTGACGTCACGTCACAGCCGTACGACTGATGATCATTGTTTCCATCCCTCTAGCAGGTGGTTTTAGTTTTGTCGTAGATGCCATAAAGCAAACTTTGAGACGTGATATTTATAGAACTGCACACAATATTGAAACAAAAAAATATATACCTTGCATTTCAGGGACACTGCCTTTGCTGAAAACATTCGTAATCCCAAATGTGGCCGGAGTTGCCCTTTAAAGAGCTACTCCTTAAAAAGCAACAAAGCAGCTGTGACTGTTTTCATGCACCATTTATTTTTTTCTTAATCCTAGTTTTGATGGATGATTATTTCCTGTCTGTTGTTTTCCTAGCTCTGGGACACATTTGGGCACATTCTGTATTCGTGCCATCCCAACGACTACCCTATCACATCCCTGGCATGGACGCCGGATGGCGAATTGTTCGCTGTTGGCTCATACAATTCCCTAAGGCTCTGTGACAAAACTGGGGTGAGTGTTTCTTTCACTTATCAAGCTAACATTTATAATGGGCAGAAATGTGGAATGGAGTGCAGACAGGACAGACGATTGACAAGAAAGGACGGAAAGCGATCCAGAAAAAGACTGACCACAAGTACACTTCTGCTTACAAGCACTATATAAAGTGAATTTGTTCCCAAACCTTACAGCTTTCTATTGCCAGTGGTTGAAATGCTGCGCCATTTGTGCCAAATTGCGCCATGAATGAAAGTCTGCTACATCTTGTGCCAAAATGCCATTTTTGCCGAAAACTGCGCCAGACCTGCGCCGAGAAAGGCTTAAAGCAAAAAAAATTTATATTTTAATGGTGGTCGACCCTAATGTTCAGAAAAGCAGAAGGAAAGAAAAGTTTTACAAAAATGGATTTCACGGCGTCTCTACTCATCGTATAGTTCTTTTCATCTTAGGTCAGAGCACAGTCGAAGGCTCAAACACATACAACCACAAGCACAGGTACTCAAAGGGCAAGTCATGGGACATTGTCTGCGCTTGTTTGGTCTAGCCGATGAAAGAACACATACAACGAAATGAATGTCATGATGTTGCGCTTTGATGCTACGAATCAACCAGTCAGAGCTGTTGATGCTGGGCATCAATCGCTCTGGCCGGAAGATACGCTGGCTGGTTGATTGCCGATATCGTCTAGATTTCATGACAATGTCGTCAATGTCAGGAATTAAGAGTCCCCAGAAAACTTTGCGAAATACCCAGGCGAAAATTTTCAACTGGGACCAGTTGGTCCCAGTTGCAACTGGTTTATGGAACAATTCCCAGTTACAACTGGTCCCAGTTGAAGTCGTCCAACTGGGACCAGTTGGTCCCAGTTGCAACTGGTTTATGGAACAATTCCCAGTTGCAACTGGTCCCAGTTGGAGTTGGTCCCAGCTGGAATTGGTCCCAGTTGGAGTTGGTACCAACTCCAGCAACAATGAAACACGGCACAAAATGGAAGGGTGACAAGAATTTATTGTCAAAAACTTGGAGAATGAAACTAAATAGGTTCGGTGACGTACACGCTCCGGGTTTAGCCACTTGCTTGCGACGGTTGAATCGCTTTTTCAGAGGTGGTATTCATGAGATGAAGGAAGATCGGCCGCTGGCGTCTGTTAGTGAAGACGTCCTCAGCTTCTCTTCCCATCGCGTGAAGAAAGGTGCTCACCCGTGATCCTGCGTTGCGCAGGTGAAGTCCTGATGAGATGCGCTAGCGCTTCCACCTTGCAATCTGTCACAACAGTCGAACATTTTCGAGGTAGACCTCCCGCCATTTTCGCCATTGTGCTCTCCGCGGCGTGTTCTCTTCCGTCCGGTCTTTCCTGGGTGCCCTCCGATCGCTGAACTGCATCGTTCCATCCTCGAAGTTCACCGCCGCCACCATGGCGTGTGTACAGTTAGGTCCAAAGAAGCGCAGCTGTAGTTTTGACATTTTCATAACGACGCCAACTTGGGCGATGGCGACATGGCGACCCTTCTCTACCGCGTCCGTCCGACTCCGGCGTCAGCATAGGCAGCGCCATCTGTCGACAGCGCGTACCACTAATCCGCACCCGCGTGTCACGGCGGCCGGCTAGCTCTGATTAGTCAAAAGATAAATTTATTTATTAAAAGAAAAAAAATACTGTAGGTATTTAAATAAATGTTTTAATATATTTTAATAATGCACTAAAAGTTCATTTAGGTGAACACAATGTGTCATTAATTATATTTTCCAATTAAAAAAATTATTTAGTTAATTAAAATTTTTATATTATTTTTATAAATATATAAATGTACCCCAGTAATTAAAAATTCCCTATTTGTATAAATCTAAAAATGTTAGTGTTTTTAGTTTTCTTCATTAGCAAAAGTCAATACACCCCCAACTTGTCCAAATTGTTGCCCAGTGTGAACTGGGAACGGGAAAGGCATTTGAAGTCCGACTGGGAATCGCTCCAACCAGTTACTTTCCTAACTGGTTCCAGTGCACTCCATTCCCAACTGGGAGTCAAACCAGTTGACTCCCAACTGGGAATGGTTCAAACCAGTTGACTCCCAACTGGGAATGGTTCAAACCAGTTGACTCCCAACTGGGAATGGTTCAAACCAGTTGACCCCTCAGCTGGCCCCAGTTGGACTCCTATTGGTCCCAGTTGATTCCCAGTTGGGACCAGTTAGTCCCAGTTGCTTCCCAGTTGGGACCAGTTAGCCCCAGTTGAAACCAGTTGAGGTGCCAACTGGTCCCAGTTAGAAATTTTCGCCTGGGTAGTAGGATTGCCGATTGTGGCAACTGTGATAAAAGAAAACCAGGGTTTTGTATTCCTGATAAGATAACTTGATTATCATGTCTGCCACATGCCTTCGTTCTGTGGCTGCAGAGGACCATGGCGCTTGTGCCGCTCGCGTCAACCTTCACCACCACTCGCCAGCATGCGTGCGTCAAACTTCACCGCTTTGCACCGGAGTGCTAGGAGCTGCGACTGACCTGGGGGAGCGCCTGGCTTAGAGCGATAGGCTCGCAAATTACCCTCAGGATTATTACAGGTCGACCTTCTTTGTCCTACTTGTAAATTATTTCTAATTAAAAAAAAAAACAAAAAAAACTGAGCATGTATAGAGGAGAGAAGCAAGCACTGGCATATATTTGAATAAATACGGCAGTCACGGTAGTTCCCATGCAACTGTCGATCGAAAGAGCAGCGAATTTTGGCATAACTCTGGTTCTTAGCCGCTAAAGAGCAGTGTTGCCTTTAAAGCGCGAGTGTAGGCTTTTATAATATTTTTGGGTGGTTGTTTTTGCAGTTTATGATATTAGTCTCGAGTTTGGTCGTTTCATTAAACTTATGGGAGGCATTTTTGTTGGTAGATGTTTTAGTGGATATGCTATTTTGCTGGCATTGTATAGAAATTATAGTTACAGGCTAAACAAACTAACCGAGTGTAAAATGAGGAGGTGAGAGAGGATTTATCCCAATGAAGTGTTGAGCTATGATTCACTTTTCAACCATTTTTTAATACCCATTGTAAATGAAACCTAAGTATTCTCACTAGAGCCTTATTTAAGAAGACTGTGTTCCTTCTTTGCCCTATTCATTTTTATCATAAGCGATAATAAGTAATATGCTCAAATATCAAAGAGGAACTCTTGATCACCATCAAACTCATTGAGAGATGCAATCACTTTTTCGTTCTCAAGTGACGTACTGACGGATGTTGGAACCTGCTCCAAAAGCATCACTGTCTGCTCCAAACAAATATATTGCCTGCTACAGAGCCTGCTACAAAAGGTCAAATGCTGCTTCCACTGCTGTATTGCGTACAACCTCTTGCATATCCAAGAACGAGGACAGGGGCGGATTCAAGGGGGGGGCGACAGGGGCGGCCGCCGCCCCCCCCCCCCCAAACAAAGTCGACCCCCCCCCCCCCTCCTCCCCCCTTCTCGGAGGGCAATTTGACATAGGTACACAGAAAGAACGGGAGAATAGTATCCTTATAAATTTTCTCGCCCCCCGCCAAAACGGAGTCCTGGACCCGTCCCTGGATGAGGAACGCAAATAAGTAACCTACTAACCTCCTGGTAAATGTGTTTCCTGGTTATTAACATTCAGCTGTGTCTTCTTTGTGCTTGTGTCATCCTTCAGAAAACTCCGGTCTAGGGTAAATTCACCCTGTTTAACCTGCACTCAGTGGTTGTGATGGATCACTATTTATGTCATTAAAGGGATACTGAACCGAAATTTGGATTTCGCAAAGTAAGGCTGCAGAAGTGTTGAACCGGACACTACGAACTCCAAAACATCACTCGTACATCAATATCTCAAACGGATGGCCGTACTTTTCGAAAAAAAGGGCGCGATCAAGCGAGTTCTTTGACGTAACTGTCCTCCGGGAGAATTTGAGAATGAGGAGAAGCACCCTCGCTTCTCTTTTCCTCGCTTCAATTCACCACCTTGACGGGACGTTGCGAGGATGAGAGAGAATGGGAATCGTGACGTGCCTTGTCTCGTCGGCCTCGTCGGCCGGGTTCAATTGCGCACTTCTTTCCCGAAAAATACGGCAATCCGTTAGATATATCGCCGAATGAGTGATATTTTTTGGTTTTGCAGCTTCCCGCCTATCCACCCGGCCTTGTTTAGTGAGCTCGACATTTCGGTTCAGTATCCCTTTAAGTGAAAATATCTTTTGTTGATTATATGATGTCCCTTTCTTAGTGGTCTTATTCACTTGACAAGCCTCAAACACAAAGCATATATTCACTAGAATGGTCTAGTGACGGCACCCAAGTAGCAGGAGCTTGTGGAAATGGCCAAGTTATATTTGCCCACATCATAGACAGGTATGCTATGACATCATTCATGAGATTGATAGATTCAAGAGGCTTTTGCAGACATCAACTTTTTTTTATGTACTATATAATTCGATCCTATGACTTCTTATATTGTTTTACCAATTTTTGTTGAAAAGTGTGCTAATCCTTTTTATGGATGAACAATCTTTAAAATAATTTTATATCATTTAATATAATTCATGAGTTCTCTGCAAAACTCTGTAACATAAGAGTTTTTTTTTTGTTTTGTGTTTTTACATATATGTAGGTTTTACTTGAGTTTTTCTGAAAAGCTTTCCTAGAAATGTATGAAAACTGTCGGAATGCAACATAGCCTGTTTGTCGTTTCCTTTGTTTAGACGTCTCGAATGGAAAAACTTTGAAGTTTCAACGGTTGGAAGAAAAATGATATCCGTGAAAAATGTCACAACGGATGCCACGGAAGCACTTGATTTTCAGGACAGTATCATCAAGATCTCTATGATGTACAGCCACCTCATTGTTGTCACCTCCACTCAGTGCTACATTTATAGGTAAGGGGTTCTTTTGCAATTTTATGGCACTATGTAGCATTGAAGTTTCAGACATTTTTGCCCCTGCTTTTACATTCTGACAGCACCAGAAACTGGAACACCCCCCAGGTGTTTGACTTGCGAGAAGGCAGCATATGTCTCGTAGTGCAGGCTGAGAGGTAAGCTCTGAAAGTAGTTCTTCAAGGGTGAGTTCACCATGGAGTATGGTAGCATGCATCAAGTTCTTCTCAAAATTTTTAAACCTTACAAACTGTGCAGCATGCCCTGGTTAACTCCAAGCATCTGCTCCTCTGGAAACAGTTGTAATTCAGATCAGATCACAGACATACCTAAAAGGCTGGTGTTATGAAACTATTGATACACTGTGGGGAGTCGATTATTTGTCCTCTTAACCAGCTTGCAGAAGCCCGGGTGAGAAATAGTCGACAAAATAATTGCCATTGGGGTACAGCAGCTATCCTATGGTAGCATGCATAAGTGAGAAGTCATTTTATGATTGCATACCGAAAGATTTTCGATCTATATCTATATCTTTGTAAGTGAACCTTTTGGTAGACATCTACTTGGTTAGGAATTTTTAATATAGAAGAGAAAAAACTCGATAACCATCTGAAGCTTGAAAACCCAATGTTTCAGGGCCAGCTCGGCCCCTAGATCACGGGTGCCTGCTTATGTCCTTTGGAAGACGACGACAAGGACATAAACGCTTGCTTGTGGTTTATATATCAAAACTAGCATGAATGGGAATTGCACATGTGTTTATATTTATGCTCATGTTTTGCTATCTTGTTAAAAATATTTTGTACTGTTACTAATTGGTGCATAAAAAAGCATATTTTGACTCTCATTCCTTCAGTATATAAGGGAGGACACATACAATTTGACCTCTGAAGTACCTAGTAAAAATTATTTGCTCAGGAGAAGATTTTTAAATAATATGTGCATGTTTAACAAAAACAGAGATATAGGACCTTGCTCAGGTGGCCATAAAATATATTGCTGCCTGCGGTAAGACAAAATTTAAAAAAAGAAACTGTTTTGTGCCATGAAGCAGTACAGTCACGTCACACTAATATGGACGTCAATAATACGGATACCCCACTGTATTAACATTTTTGGGGACGAACTGGGTAAACACATGCTCTTTTGTCCCGTTATTATGGACAACCCGCATTATGGATGCTTTTTGGAGGAAATGAAAGTCTTCATATATTAACGAGACATCACTGTAGATGTTTTGTGGTGCAGAAACTGCATTTTGTTGCTTTATACGTGCTCCTTTATGGTTTAACTCGTGAGACTGATTTTTTTTCGTTCAGGTATTTTCTCCTGGTGGAAAGCGCAGGTCTCTATGTGTACACTTATGACGGCAAGTTTGTGTGTTCTCCCAAATGGGCGGGCATGCGTCCCGACATGCTCAACAGGTTCACGGTGGCCCTGAGCAACAGCATTGTTGCGGTCCGAGACAAGGCCGACGAGAGAGGTCTGTGATGCCATGCGCCCTTACAGGGAAACATTGTCGTGAACGTCGTTCTTGGTTACAGTGGTGTACTTGTTCGACACCCAGACGGGAAAGCCGGCGGGTGACGGGAAACCTTACGTTCACAAGGTACGTCAAAGGGAATTTTTCCGGCGGCACTCGCGCCTTCCTGCAAGCATGCCCCACATCTTATTGATGCTTCAATTTTGTGACAAGCTTTTCTTAGTTGTTGAGATCAATTGTTTCAGTAACTTTGCACGTTAGCTCAGTTTTCTTAGGGGGGTGGATTGGATAATTACAGATTGTTGGTTTTGTTTATCAGTGCTTGAAGTTTGGTTTCGTTTGTTGCATTATAAAGGGACTCTGAAGCGGATTTTCAGTTTAGATTGGACCATGAAAAGACTGATTTTGCTTTGTAGGTGATAAAATCTTTTTTTTTGGTCTTTTTTCGGCTTAAATTTGTAGTGGCACCTTTTCTTGAAATATACACTCATATTAAAAGAGCAATCGAAAGATTTGAAAGAAAGTCGTCTTCCAAGATTTGTTTGTTTTCCAGCTTGAAGTGACGGAGGTCGGCATAGACCAGTGCGGGCCATCCATCCAGCGCAAGTTGGCTGTCCTCGACAAGAACAAGGACTTGTACCTCGTCAGTTTGCGCAATGAAAAGCATGTAGACAACGTAAAGCTTGGTGAGTACCCTCGAGTTTAAAAGAGCGCTCTAGAGAAATATTGCTTGCTCATTACAGTGCGACAATACTTAAAGAACAAGCTAGCTGGTGGTGATTCATGGTAATAAAAGCCGAGACTCAAGAACACAGAAGGGGATGGTTACAGTGCCTTCCTTTCTGGAGCAATATGACAACAAAATGTGGTATCTCAAATACTGTTCATATAAGAACTGAAGGAGAGAGGAACAGGGACAGAAAAAAATAAAAAAATATTGCACACTTTCGTATGTTCCTGCCCCTTGTCTGTTTTTCTTCTTCTCCCATGATGTGTGAGAGCCTGTGTTCTTCAGAACCAGTCATGACAGGTGATGTGACTTTTTCCAGGTTCTCCTTTTAGTGACAGTGCTTTTTCTAGAAATAAGTGAGAAAGGGAACACAAATTTTGACTGCTTGGTTGATTTTGGAGATGAAGTTAGTCACAGATATAAAGCATTTAACTTTTGACTGATCTGTTGTGTCACATCCACTACATGCCTGCTGATGTGTCATGCTGATGTCACCACATGCTGATGTGTCATGTCCACCACTAAAATTTGGGCGTGTTCTAACAACTACTCATGGCCTCGTTTTTGACATTCAATGGTTCTTTTTGTGTTCAGTCAAAAATGAAATTAAAATTGTCTACTGATGCCAAACCAACATATAACCAGTCTGGTCTGTAATTGATGCATTCATTTAGCAAGCATATTCGATTAAAACTAACACTAAATTGTTTTAGTGATGTTTCAACTTGAGCACTTTATATCTGGTTTTGTTATTTAATTATTACTGACTAAATGAGTGTAAGCAATAGAGATGGTGGGCTAAGAGCTACTGCATCTTGTAGACTATAAATATGCTCTTGTTAATCATGGGTGCCATGATCTAATACTTATTTTCAGAGGGGAAAAAAAATACTATAGATTGTTGCTACTCAAGAAGGTAAGGCGAGGGAAAGTAAGGCCGGGGAGGAGGAAGCAGACAAAATGCTAAAGAGTTCCGCCTGCTTCCTCCTTCCTGGCCTTCCTTTCCCTCGCCCCACCTTCTTGAGCTGCAATGAACTATAGCTGTAAATGACTTAATTTTTGCGAGAAAATAAAGTCGTTTACAGTAAGTGGAAATGTGTGAACGGGCACCCCAAATCATCTTTGAAACATAAAATAGCCTATCACAAAATTTTGTTCGATTTCTGCGTTCCTGTTGATCCAGGTGTCATGATTGGTTCCCTCTGCTGGAATGACACTGCTAGCATCCTTGCAGCACTGCAGGAAGGAAAACTTATCATCTGGAACCACCCTGCTGCTGCCTTTGTTGACCGCAGTCTCCTGCCACAAACCGTCACAGAGAGAGAGATGAGGTGCGTCTGGATTTACCAAGTGCCCGTATATATAAAACATGAATGTCGCAAAACAGAACTGTCCCTGCAAAAAAAAAAATGTTAACGAGATATTTATTTTGCAAGACGCTTTTTAAGTTAGAAGCGATTCTAAAACGCGCTTCTACCTCAAGCCGTCGACCCAGAAATAGAAGCATGTTTTGGAATCCCTCAGACGAGTCTTGTAGTGCCCTAAACATTGTGCTAAAAGCTTTTTTTTCTTTATTTGAGGGGGGGGGCGGGGCGGGACGGGGCGGGGCGGGGCGGGGCGGGGCGGGGCGGGGCGGGGCGGGGCGGGGCGGGGCGGGGCGGGGCGGGGCGGGGCGGGGCGGGGCGGGGCGGGGCGGGGCGGGGCGGGGCGGGGCGGGCGGAGGCGGAGGGGAAAAAATTTATTTTGCATGTGACACAAGGGCAGACAGCATGCAAAAGAAGAGGAACAAAGCAAAACAAGTGTATTCAAGCACTTAAAAATATATTTTTTTTAAAAGTTCAGCGTTCCTTTGAATAAATTTTTGAACAATTTGGTCTTTGTTCAGCTATATATAAATTATTTCTTAGCTATATCTGGACTATATCATTGATTCGAGCTTTGTGAGCTACATATATCTGGGCTATATCTGGTTTATTACTTTTGTTGCTTCATTGTGTGGAATTTACTTGAATTTTTTTTTTCTTTTGGAGGGGGGGTAATGCGGGTGGATCAATGTAAACATAAAAGCTAGATTTCCAGCTGCTGGCTACCTTTCGCAATAATTATATTACAAACTGTCAGCGAACCTTGTTAATGATGGACCACTGCAAAACGTTTCAGCGACCTGAGCTACAACCCTCACATTGTGAGCTTCCTTGGTTCCAACATTTTGGTGCGGAGAACCGACGGATCCTTGGTGTCCTTTGCCGTGCCCCCGTATGCCTCCATCCTCCATGGTTATGTCACGGCGTCGCGATGGGACGATGCTCTCCGCCTCTGCAGATTTGTGAAGGCATGTACTCTGTCACATTATCACGTGTCATATGCATCATTTTCTTTTTTCTATAACAATATTCATCCATTCTTCTCTTGGCGTCTTCAATATTTGTGGGCAATCAATTATTTTGTTTAGCATTTTCGGCCGGCGCAGTGAAGTGACACGTCGGTTGTAACTTTTTGTTTTCAGAAAATAAAGCTTTATTTCAATTTGCTCAGCAACGACTGGGGACAGGAATAACTTTTTTTTTATTGGCTTAATAAAATGTGCATTGAACTAAAAATTGTGGTATGAATTGTTTTCAAAGTAATCCTGCAAGATTCCATTGAGGACGGACCCCCCACCTGCTTCAGAATGGCAGTTTGTATTAATTGGCATTTATCAGAATCATGATTTGTGGGCTTTCTTGGGGAGGGGGGAGACAGGAAAAATTATATGTGTGAAAACAACAGACATTGATGCACCTACAGTCACTAAATAAAGTGACTCGAGACGTACCCTAACGCATCCATGTCTCTCGAGTGCCTCCATTTTAAAATTAAGTGAAGCTGTCCTTTAAGAACTGCACTGTTTTGCAAATGCGTTTGAGTGCCTTAATCTTATTTTTAATTTTAAGGTACCTTCACTGTGGGCCTGTCTAGCGGCCATGTCACTGAGCGCAAGAGAGCTCACTACTGCCGAAGTTTCCTACGCCGCAATTGATGAAGTAAGGCTTCATTTCGCTTTGTCGGTGCATCCAGTTTACTGCACTGCAAGGCTTTGGTGTTGGTTTAAAGCACAGAAACTGCAATAATTTGGAAGATGAAGAGGCACCACCAGTGTAACTTTTCCTATGCCCAAGCCAAGTTAGAGAAGTGACCCCTAAGCGTTTAACATGTCTGTAAATCAGGTATGTGATAGCAAGGCAACATTCCTACTTCCGTGAAAGAGTTAGTCACGGTGTGAGCAATGTCCCACGTGAATGTAGAGAAGCTATGCGAAACTAGTATGTTTACAAAATCTATGAGCTGGTCAAGTTTGCATTGCCTTATGTTTAGTGTGGACAGCACCAGTAAAACATACTACATACAGTTTAGATAATAAGCATTAAGTTACTGCTTATATAATAAGCAGTAACTTATGGGCAATCTAGCCAGTGTGGTATATTCACTATAACTCCACTTTTTAATATGCATCGTAAAGTATATGTGTATTTAGAATATTGAGAAGTTGCTTTTTGATGTAATAGTATGGGGATCAGCGTATGAAGAACAGGTAGTAAATAGGCACTTCCAGCTGACTTTTTGTCTATGGACTTTCTTTGTTATTCAGGTGCAGTGATGAACTGCTCCACTATTTGCACCATGGACGATAGTCTGCTACATCTTGCACCAAAAAGCCATTTTCGCTGAGAATTGTGCCCCCATCTGAATGGGGCCGACTTTTATATTCATTGAAGTAGAAGTAAAAAAAGAAATGGTACAACTATGCTTAAGTTAGAGCACAGTCGAAGGCTCGGACACATGCAACCACGAACACAGGTACTAAAAGTGCAGGTCAGGGGACATTCGTTGCTCTTAATTTGTTTAGTAGATGATATCGCACTTTGATGTTGTTTGATTGGTCCCATTGGCTTGTAGTATCTACTTAAGGTGAAAAGGAGTATAAAGAATGTTTGTCAACCGCTCTGGCCGATTGATGCGCTGTCCGATTGATCGCCGACGTCGACATTGTCTAACTTTTCAGACAATGTCTGCGATGTCAGGAACTGAAAGTCGCGAGAAATCTTCGCAGAATACTAGGATGACGGCTAGTGTGATAAGACAGATCCAGGGTCTCGTACTCATGATTTACTTGACTGTCATGTCCACCACATGTCTCCGTGCCGTGGCTGCAGTGTACCGTGGCACTTGCTCCGCTCGCGTCGACCATCGCCGCCTCTCACTTGCGCGCGCGCGTTGCGCTTCTCCACTTTGCACCGAGTGCTAGGAGCAGCGGCTGGTTTGGGGGAGCGCCTGGCTTAGCGTGAAAGGCACACAAATTATACTCAGGATTATTACAGGCCGACCTTCTTTGTCTAGATTGTATGTTCATCTTCTTTAAAATGAAATGGAGCCAAAAAGAGAGAGAAGGAAAGGAATACGGGTCTATATTTGAATAAATACCGTAGTAGGTTCCCGTGCAGCAGCCGATCAAAAGAGCAGCGAACTTTGACTTAACTCTAGTTCCAATGCCGCTAAAGGGCAGTGTCACGTTTAAAGAACAAGTCTTTTATAATATTTGTGGGCGATTGTTTTTGCAGTTTAACTATAGAGTCCTGAGTTTGGTAGGTTCATAGAACTTGGGGGATGCGTTTTTATTGACGGACATGTTACCAGATATGCTGGTTCTTGCTGGCATTTTACAGTAATTATATTTACAGGCTAAATAAACTACCGTGTGTAAAATGGGGAAGCAAGAGATGCTTTATCTGAACTGAAATGTTGCACAATGATTAAATTGGGAGCGGAGCTTTTAGGCACTTGTTTCCGGCTTGAGCAGCGTCGCCGTCGGCGTAACTGCGCGGTGCATTATGGGACGCGTGACGTCACTGATGACGTCATCACGATGATAATATCGTCATGTGACCTCACAGGGGCCACGTGACCCATAATGCACCGCGCGTGAGGTCACGTGACCCTCGTGAGGCGACGGCGACGCCGCTCAGAGAGAGGAGTAGCAGACAGGATGAGGAGGTGAGGAGGAGGGAGGAGGGGCATACCCTCCCCTCAGTACGATTCCCTCCTCCTCCTCAAGAGCTGCCCTCTAATTCGGTGTTACAGGGAGTTGTAAATGGCTTTCATTTTTTTCAACCATTTTTAATACCCATACAAATGGAACCTACTCTGACCATAGCCTTATTTCTGAAAATAAGGCTATGTATTTTCTTTGCTCACTGTCTATTATCACAAAAGTTAATAAAAAATATACTCCAGTATCAAAGAGGGACCCTCAATCATTGTCATAGATGAGCTCGGTTAGAAATGCTATCACTTTTTCATTTTCAAGTGACGTGCTAACAGATGTTGGCATCTGCTCCAAAAGCATCAGTGACTGCTCCAAATCAATATTTTGCCTGCTACGGAACCTGGTAGGAAAGTTCAAATGCCGCTTCCATCACTGCAGGTGGATAAGGTGCTTTACATTCAGTACATCAAAGCGCAACCGCTGGATGAGGTCCGATCAGCAGAGATAGCCTTGATCTGTGGAAACCAAAAGGAGGCTGAAAACATACTTCTCCAGAATAAATTGTGGTTTCGTGCAATTATGATGAACATTGGCCTTCACCAGTGGGAACGGTAAGCTGACTGGGTCTCTTAAAAATTGTGCCTCGAGTATACTGTACTTTTATTTTTCTAAGAATTTTTTTTCTGCCCTTTTTATGATGTAACTGCTAGGGTAAAGATGGGGCAAAATGAGACGTGAGGCAAAATGAGACATTTTGAGTTTAGCGCTAGCTTCATATTAATCTTGCAATGCGAGGAAATCCTATGCAACTTGTAAGAACATTCAGACAAAAAAAAAATTGCAGTTATATTTTGTGATTTTATGAGCTTCCAAAGTGGAATTAAATTCTGCACTTGCATTTTTCTGGAGACGTGCGACTGAGGTTTAAAAAATTACTGTACCAAGCTCAACCCTTATTTTATTTGTCTATTTCCTTAGCTGACTCAGGTTACAATTTTATCGCTCTAGGTTTTGATTGGTAATGCAATAAAAATGTTACTACAATGTTTAAATAAGAGTTGATTCAAGGGGCAAAATGCGACCATATTGGCATCAACAGACATAAAATAATTTTTGGCCGAGTCAGTGTTTCTTTTTGATCTATGGATCTTTTTATTTACGGTTTAGGATAGTCCGGATATACAAAAGAAAAATAGCCAGAGTTTAATGCTGCAAAAATAACATTTAAAAAGCGCTCAAGAAAGTGTGCATTAACAGCATCAGTCTATTCGCGCTGCAACACTAGATGACTCCAGTCAAGAGGCCTGTGGCAGAACCAATAGTTTTTAAATAGACGTTTCCTGGTCTGATCCAATCTGTGTTTCAGCAAAAGCCTTTGGCGATCTAAGAATATACTCCAAGGCATGCGAGAAAACTCAAGTAATGGCTCCTGACTGACTTTTATAAGTGCTTTATAAAAGTAACTTAGGATCCAAATGACAAGTTCCTTCTAATCAGCAAAAAATTTTAAAAATGAACCGAAAAATGCCATTGAGTATAGTGTGTGCATGGAGAAGTCCCTTTTTGAGCTTGCATACAATGACATGCTGAGGATAGACTACACTTACTGTGAATCAAATGAAAAAGAGGGGGAAGATTATTCAGGGTGAAAGCAATAGTCTGCAGACTCTTTACTTCCTGAATAAGCCGGTGAAGCACAAGTGTTCTGCAAATTGTGCAAAGAGCACCAAATGTGACTAAAAGTGCCCGATGTGCAAAACACTATGAAGCAAAACAGCTCACATTTTGTGTGCTGTTTTCCCACTCTTCGCACGCATGGCGTGCGAAGAGTGGGTTCACAAAGATTGTGCAGGGAGTTCGACTTCAAATGTTTCAAATGCAAAGACTAAGCTGTATTCTTTCTTTAACAGGGTGTTTAAGTTGATTTTACTAGCTGTCTCATTTTAGCCCAGGTGTCAGGGCGGAATGAGACATTTGTGACTGACCACAATTCCAAAATGCAAAAGAAAGTTTTCATACATTTTTTTTTCCTAAATTTAAAATTAAAACTCAAAAACGGCATCAATTTGCAAATTTTTGTTACATTTTGGCCCTTCCTATCCTGCACATTATCCAAAAAGCAAGCCTAGGCTACTTCAATGAGATATGTGAACTGTAAGCTTTAAAATTCACCTCAATGTAATTTACTTTGAGAACGATATCTACAAGTTAATTGAGTTGTAGCAATCCATCTTAATGAGGGAAAAAAGCCATCCGTAGAACATATTTTTCTGAATGTTGAATGCCAATGTAATTTTCCGCATGGCACAACCTTTTCCTTGCAGCGCATTGAATCTAGCCATCAAATACAACTCCCACATTGACACTGTGCTCGCTCACCGAAAGCTTTCCTTGGAACGACTTGGAAAGAAAGAATCGAGTGCCCTTTTCGAAAAGTACAATAAAGAGGTATTCGCTCCTTTTTTTTTTTCTTTTACATATGTATGGTGCATTCCTTGTCAACCATTGTTAGACATGTATGTATGTTTTAATGAATTTTTCGATCTACTTCTCAATTGACTAACCACTTAATCACATCACTTTGATAGACTCAAGATTGCGTTCTAGTAATGAAACCTATATTTTTATTTCAAACAGTGTGACGCTTGCCTAAAGCGACCATGAACATTTTTATGTGTTTCTTATTGGTAGATCTGAATTTATTAAGCTTTAAAATTAAAATCTATATGAAGTTTGAATCCTGGTCTAC